TTCAATTAGTGTAAGTCACAGAGGCTGTGCAGGTTTTTTTTTTGAGGAACGATTATATCGTAAATATCATTGATTGTATCATTGGTATGAAATTATATTGATATAAGTTGGTGTTGATATAAAATATGATTGATATAAATACTGTTGAAGGCAGATACTAAGGAGAATAGTTGAATAGGACTCTGCGAGATTCAGTGTACCGCTGGAAACAATTGAAGGTATAGACGTTTGACAATTCAAATGAGATCGTGCCATCTCATCTGGAATTGTTCTAATATATTCAGTTTATATTGAATTCTATTGCCATTAATTTTCTTCTTCTCGCTTTGTCTGATTCTGGACTTATACAGCTTGTAGAGGAATCACCTGTCTTGACAGAACGTAGATACCTTAATGTCTGCATAATTCAGTCGTTGGATTGTATTCGTATAATTCAATTTATTTACATTTAATTCTTTGTTTATATTCATACTTAATTATACTAAAATTTGTCAAAGTAGCTCCCCATTTTTATAGAAGCATTTCACTCTCATTATGAACTGGAACATGTTACTAAATATATCGTAAGATCCGCATATATAATCAATTAACCAACCAATGAAATACATATATTATTTCCTTTCACGCGTGTATCATTCATCCGTACGTGAATATGTTTTTCATTGAAATTGCTACGAGTTGTTAGCGTTAATGGAAAAGAGCTTCGAGCGCAAATATTTAACATTCCGAGATTTATAAAACCCGTTGACAAAAACTGGACGGATAATTCGCCCGGGATAAATGTTCGCGAACAAATTGTTAAGCATCCACTGGCGATAAACCGCGAGTCGCGCGAATAAGCATGCACCGGCGGATTATCCGGAGCTATATACGCGACATCGGTTTTAAAGTCTCGGTGGTTTTCGTTTCATCGTGTGGGAAGGAGAACGTTATTGCGAGCTGATACTTCGTGTTTATAGTGGGTCGCGCAAAACACACACGTACAAGCCGACGCATTAGATTAATTAGCCGTTGACGAATTCCGCCGGTGGGAATAAATAATCCGTCACGTGTACCTCCGGCACGCGTGTAACTCGCTACCCGCGTTTAATTAATCCCGCGTAATAATTCATTAGTCGTTACAGCCATCGCTTTATTCAGCGCCCGAAAGCGGATTAACGTTGCCCGGATTAATTAAGCACACTGTCGTCGGCGCTCGTCGCTGATCACGCGACGCTAATGACCGCTTTTCTGTCCCGATCCCGGACTTCTCTCTTTAATTGCGCATATTGTTCTAACAATTCGCGTCGTCCCGGCGAAGATTCTTGGAAACGTGCGCCGAGATTTTCTGAAGCTTCCGAAGATTATACAGAAATGAAAAGTAATACTTTCCAATGGAATATATACAGGATGTTTTTAAAATTGTCGAATAATGAAAGAGGAGATTTCACATGGAAAAATGAATCAAAAGCATAAACCGAAATTTATTCGTTTATGTTCACCTCGTTTGTTTAAATATCAAAATATAAACTAATATTTTTCAGTGAAATGTACCGAAAGTTTTCAGAATTGTAGAATAATGGAAACGAGAAGATTTTACATGAAAAACCGAATTGAAAATTTGAAATAAAATTTACTCATGAACGCCTCGTTTGCAAGACAATGGGGCTTAAGCAGCCAGTGCGCGTGTGCTATCTGCCGTGCGTATTGTGTCTGTTCATAACCGACCGTTTCCACTTTCCACGCACTACTAGCACGTGTCCGACGTTTGAATTCGATTATCTCGAAAACGATCTCTCCCATGACCGAATTTTAACCCATGTTTCGACGCATTTTTGCACGTAGATTCACTTTCTTCCGGATTCCAGCATAATCTCACAAATACTTTCTACATCTAATTAAAATTCCATATGTTCCAAGCCAAATTCCAGCGGTACGGTAGACCAAGTCGAATTAGTTCACACGGTGAATCCACATTTATTGCATCTCAAATTATGTTCCCTATTTCTTAATTTATAAAAGAAAAATTACAGAATTCTTTTTCACTTTTAATTTTTAACACGTTAATACCGTGTCAGTCACCAATGATCGCTTCTTAACGTTTAATAACATAAATAAATTAACAATAGTGTAATGCAAGAAATTTGATGTTCAATAATTAACAATTGCTCCTATTTACCTTTGCTACGAAGGAACAAGTCGTATATAAAACGTTCAAGCTTCTCATGCCGCTTAACGTGTTGATGTCCAAGTATTTTATACTTTACACGCTGCATTTACACGGTACAAGAGACAATCACTGAGATCAATTATCTTCCTTCCACCAGAACGTAAGGATCTCCGATTCTCGAAGCAAGCATAGGGTCGATTGGACGGCAGGATACTTACGGACAATTCCAACTCCTTCGGCAGAGTGAGGTTCATCGTCGCCACGTGGAATTTGAGTGGATAGGGCGGCCTGTCATCGATCCCCGACAACTCCGGCCCATTCGTGCGATTCAGTTCCCGGCACTGGGTGCTCGAACCTAGCCAGAACCCGTTACCGAAATGGAATTGCGAGGAGTAACGGCCGCTCGCGTCCGACACTGGAAAAAAAGGCATTGACTGAAGAATCACGTCCAATAAGATGCGTTCTGCCGGAAGGAAAACGATAGCCGCTCCGAACCTCTATTGTATAATCTCTTTTGAAGCCTCCACGAATACTACAATGATAGCTCTTCCACCGGAAACGGTCGCTGGAAATTTTCAACCTCCTAACTAACTGAAATTTGATGGAAACCTGCCAATCTCTGCTCTTAGAACTATATAAAAGTCGCTCGATTCTCTAATAATAACTTGAAAGTTGATTCAATCACTTAACGAAATCCTGTCACCGTCGACGAAGGCTTGACGTTTGAAACTTTTGTTTTGGAGACACGACTCGTCCGGAAATAACAGAACTTAGTTACTGAATTCTAAAGCTTAAACTCGAAAATACGCTTAAACTGATCAAGTATTAAGGGGAACATCTGTAATATCATATTTGTCTTTCCAGAATGAAAGACAATTATGAAGGATAAAAGTCAATCATCGTATCTGAGGGACCTGATGGAAAGTCGGAATTGAGTTACATACGGAAACAACGATGTCTATTTTGATTGTAAATCAATATTTATTCAATTCGCCGTTCACAGCAATAACAAACGGACGGTTTACATGCGTTTTAAACGAATTATTAACGTTTGGTCGATCGATTGTCAGTGAAACGATATACGAAAGTGTCTATTCGAATTTTACAATCGAGAAGCTTCAGTCGATGCTTCTCACCGTCTTTCTCTCGTCGTGTGTTCATTCGAGCCTGTGTTCCCGGTTGCGTAAGCCCTGCGAGGGTTGAGCAGTCGCGGGAGGTTCATTGTCAGTTACGTAAATCGGCGTGAGGCGGTCGGGAGAGCGGAGAAAGCGCGTCACGCGGTCACCGGCGAGCAAACAACGATCCTCTCAACGCAACGTCGAACGTAAATACGTAAACGCGAATCAAGAGCGACCGAAATATCCATCGCCCGATCCGTTTCCACGTGAAACGTCCCGGTAACAAGACTTTATTTCGCTAAACCGGCGAATAACCGCCTGATACGATAACTCTCGGGAACCCAGCGGCTCGTGAAGCGTGTTTTGACTCGGCAGCCTCGATTCTCGTTTCGACCGCCGGGATAAACCATTGAGCACGTTGCGCGCAGTCTGATGCAACGCCTAACGCGCATCTAAATACCACTTGCTACGTCCAGGAGATTAATCTCGCGGTAACGCGAGTGGAAACGATTGGAAGCTGTACCGAGGGGTCATTAGTATTTTAGAGACTCGCGGAATATCATGAGCAACCCATTTCATCCTTTCTTTGCCACCCTCGTTTGTACAGAATGTTCCGTAAATCATAATAGCCAATGAATCTATATGAAAAAGTAAATCGTGGAGTAATGTTTCCTCGCAAATTTCGTTTCTAAGATGATCAATCTTGAATATTTTATTATTCAGTATTTCATTTTGAAGATTCACAATGTACATCGGCAATTGTGAGTAGATTAAGCTAATTCTTATTCAACAACCGGGTGAACCTTTCGTGGAATAGTACACATATCTACCACGAACACTTTAAATTACCGGAAAGCTAGGAAACGACTAGATAAAAGAAAATTGTACCACACGAGGATCTTTGCTTATGGTTGACAGCTAAAGTACTAAATCAGCTGTCAGTACACGTGCTTTGGTTGATTATTGTAAGTTTTATTTCACAAAATTCGTCAGTTATTCTAGTGGCATTGTTTGTGAACCTTTGTAAAACTTTGTTGTACACTTTTTATAATTTTGCTAAGAAAGCGATTATCTTGAAAGTGAAACGTCATACGAAGAAATGTTATTTCCCGTGCTACTTTTGGCTTAATTCCACGGAACAGTCGGTTTTTTGCTTTATCCAGCGATTCCGAAGACACCCTGTACAGGCATTCGTGAAATTGGACTATGCAAGCGCCATGGGCGTGTTTGCTCCTCCGCGAGCACTAAACCAACGTCCAGCGGCTGCGTCTTCCTGCGATTTCGCAATAATTACGTATGAAACGCTTATAAGGATGTACTCCCGTGAATTTACGAAATCCCTGAAACGAATAAAACTCTCTTGCATAAAGTTTTACTGCCACGGCGACGGGTTGCGGGAAACAGGACGGCTCCGCAGAAGCGCGGCCAATAGGTCAGAAGTACGTTTAACGATACGCGTGAGTGCCGATAGCGTTTACAGGATTAAGTTCACAGCTACTCGTAAAACTAGCCGACCTTTCCGGATCGCGAGTGCAACGGTGAAAAAACATCGTTTTATGGTACCCCTTTCTCGCGTTGATTCTGAACGATTTTTTCATGGTTCCGTAGAATTCTATGCACAGCAGACTTCTCTACAGTGCGGGGGGTACGCGTCGTGTTACAGGATGCCGCGTTACACGAGACGTTGCATTCTTCGATAAATTTATTGTTGAATCAAATGTATTTCTACTGTACCTTCAACCCCTTGTACGATTTTCAGATAAAATACACTCGACAAGAATAATTTCCTAATTGTCTTACCAATATAAATTTTACTTAGTTTGTGGAAATTAGAAAGATACGTTTATTCATTGTAAACGCAGATTTATGGTTTAAAATTGTAACATTGATAATAGTAAAATGATCTTTCAGTTCGACCTGTGCGCAATGAATAATTTTAATTTTCATTAAATTCAGCTAGAAATGTTCCTCACAAATTGCAAGCGGTTGAATGTGCATTGTGTTCGATTTTAATGAACGTTTACACAGTTCATAGTGTTCACAGTTCACAGTAGGTCTTCACCTATTGTCCTCCGAACGAAAAAACTAGAAAAATGTTTCAAAATATTCTATTCACTTTGCTGGTTGCATGGAACGGTTTATCGCATTGCGTGAGTGCTAGTTCCAATTCTTTGTGTTATACGAATTCTCGTTATACGAGAGCCCACCGTGTACGAAATTCCCTGACGAGCTTTGTTCCGAAACTCGCAACTGTATAAAACACATATTGTCCGGCGCGTGTTGATTCCGGCCGAGTGTGGATCAGCGGAATCGCGGGCCTGTATTTGCCAAGTTTCGTTCGATATTCGAGCGTTCATTGAACGTGCTGCCGCGGAAGTTGCCGTTTGCGATTCCGCGTTTCATAGCGTAAAGGCGGGAAGGCGAGAAGAGACTTCGCGAATCACAACTTTGCTGGTCGAAAGTCTGTTACGTTTCAATAAACGAAAGTAAGCTGATTCTCTACTAATAGTGAAATTGTCTTTAACAGTTCCACAAAAACATGATGATTATCTTTTATAAACTCACCCAAGATAATTAAGAATTATCGGTATCACTAGTATTCAACCAACATTGTTATAATATATTCTTGATACTCGTTATTACTTATATTCACGTATTCATATATTTATTCACTATTTTTTAAAAAGCCTATTAGGTTTATTATTAATCCATATTTCACGTCGAGTAACAAATTACTTATCAAGACTCCTACGTAGTCGAAACAGTGTTCTTAATAAAGCAAAAATTAAAGACCCAATATTCTCCATAAAAATTTCGCCATTCCTTATATCTCGCAAAGTTCGGTACGTTCGATACATCACCAAGACAATTTTTGAGTAGCTTGTGTAGTTATAAAGTAAGAATTCTAAGAGTTCGCGTGACGTGGCAGTTAAACAGTTAAGAACTCTGAAAAATTGATTTTTACCGCAGAAACATCAATATTTTGCTATTGTGCGCCGACCGGCGCTGTGCAAGTAGATTCGTCCGCGAATTTGTCGATAAACCGGGCCCCGGAAATCAACGCGGATCCGGAAAACCGTGAAAGTCGATTTGGCCGGCGTGCCGCGACCACAGCCCACGGATCGATGCGCGGCGACAGCTTTTCCCGCTTCGCGCCGCGATAATCGATCGGCCGGCGAAGCTGGCCAGCACCCTCGTTGAAATTTCGATGCACGCGGTCAGGGATACTCAGATTTATGATCAGAATTTGTGCGGTTTTGTAGTCAGGACGTCCAAACGTGGAACGCGCGTTGTAAAGTCTTTGACATTTAGAAATTTCGCGGTAGATCCTTAACCCTTTGCACTCCAGAGTCGTCTCGCAGTCGTCAGTTCAATTGGTACAGCAAAATTGTAAAGTATAACGTTTACTGTTAAACTTTGTATAGTAGATCAGTATGGGACATATTGAAATAAAATAGTTTCGTTCCTCGATTTATGTGCGATTTCTCGTCAAGTTAGTTTAAAAAAATCTCGTCTGTATCTCAATAGAGAATGTTGAACTTTGATACGCTCAGGCGTGAAAGTTCAACAGTATTGTAATTTTAAAATTAAGGCATATCCGTTTGAATGCAATTATTAAAACTATAGAATACATTGTTAATTTGTATCTGCAGGTTGATGTTTGTTAATTTTATACTATATACATTTTTCTATAGTCACGAAAAAAATTCGGTCTATAGAGAGTTAAATTTTTCGCTGTAACGTTGGAAAGGGTAGGAAAAGTTTGGAGTTTGCAATCCCAGGATCGGTGGAATTGCGTTTGACGCTAAATCGAATGGTTCGATGATAACATTACTGACTTCTCGTTTGTAATTGTTGGAAAGATAGAAATGATTTTCTGGGCGATCCGTGTATGAATTGATTGTTCAATAATATAGGAAATTGAAATATGCGTCTATCGATGTTTCAATAATTATATTTTCATAGTTTCTATAACAATCTAAAAACTAATCGATTCGATTGATCGATAATTCTACCGGTAACCCTGAATATCGTATTTTTCAGATAACCTACGGATTTGAATATTTCGAGATTCAAGGGTGCCTTAGAAAAGGGGGTCGACTTGAATGGCAAAGGATTACACGAACGAAAATGCGATTAAATTGGACAAAATAACGAAGAATGCAGCGGTATGATTGCAGCAAGAGTTACATCACATCGGTAAAAGGTATCGCAATAGTACGATTATGTGTTTGTAGATGGTTTGTTTTATTTCTGAACGCCTAGTGTTTCCAGGATCAATTAACGTTAATAATCTTTCCACGTAATCTGTGGAAACATATCGCCAGTCGGAATATATTTTCCAACGGCGCAAACACAAATACGTACATTAACTCGTGGGATGCGGTAAACGCTGTTAATTGTTCTATCTATGGAAAGTAAATCCGAGCCATGAATCGCGAGTTTATGCTTGCCTATTTTATCTTTACGGTAAGGAGCCGAGATCACCGCGATAACCGCGCATTACGAAACGGATTATATCGTCGGAATTTACGTAGGCTTGCCGGTAAATAAAGTTATACAGCTCGTTCCAAAACGTGCAGCACAGCCAAATGAAAAGCTATTTTACACGTGGACACAATGTGAAAATATCTGGAGCACGTCTTCTTCGAAGTTTCTTTTGTGCGCAATTTCTAATCCTTCGAAGTAGAGAAGGTGAATCATAATCAGACTCGACATTCTTTGCTTATTCATCGATATAGACTCTGAAGACAATTTTGAATTCAGTTACACTATAATCCCACGATCAAATAGTATCTAATACTTCCATAATTTACTTATTCAATTTATTCTATCTCTTACTGGGTTCAATCATTTAACCCTGAATACCTTCTACAAAAACTTCAGCAACTCGATATCGAGTGCAATCCCATTCACTATCGAACACCGCAGCAAAGTTCCAAGGTAAATTTCAACTTTCTATTACGTTTATCCACAGTTTAATCGCGGGTGGCGTTAGAATATCGACGCCGGACGGGAACTTTGGGAAAGCTTTTCTACGGGTTCGGTCCGTTAAAGCGACTGTTCCATTCGTTTTAATCCTCCCACTAGCGAAAGGAACACTTTGCATCCACTATATCGTATACCCTACATTTTTTACCAATTTCTACAAGCCTTATTCGAAAGAAACATTACCTAATTATTCAGTGAATTATCGTGCAGCACGTACTTTGTTTCAGAGTAATTTGAATGTTTCAGTTCGCAGTGGGCCCAGGTATTTAGTTCGCGTCTGGAAAATTACCACTCGAGGGTTAATCTTCGATTTCGAAACGCGCGAGTCGCGCGCCTCGCGAGTTTACGGCTCCGGCGCAGCGCGCTGGTGAACCTCCATTATGATTTGCGGTAATAACTTTGCATCTTTCACACCGGAGACCTGAATTTCGCGGCGAGTCGCGCTAAAACACCGGTAATAACCGGGTTCCATTGTCTCGAGGAGCAAGGGCCCAGCGTTGCGAACCGACGATTGCTTCGACTTTCGTCGAATTCGTTTTAATTGCGTTCCCCGCGACGATAAAGCGGCACGAACGAAAGGGGGGGAGCGGCGAGGAGTAACGATTACGAGCCGGTAAACCGTAGTTTCGCAAAATAACGATGTATTTGGCAACCGAGGCGGCCGTTCGGCGACAAGGCACTCTGGAAACTTAGCGAAGCATGAATTTCACGGAGCGTTCGTGTTGGCTCGGCGCGCCACCGTTCGATCGCCTAGCTTGTCAACGTGTGAGCCAATAGCGTTCCCTCATTATTTCCCATTAACTTTTTGCCCTGCTTTGTTTCGAAATTGTTTTCTATTATTCCGCGCGGTTCCGTTTCGAGAATTATGCCGGAACGCTTTCGATTTTACGAGCGACCGGCCGACGTTCGGGCCAATTAAAAAATACGCGTGTTGACCGAACTTGGATTTCTCATTGATTCATGCGTTGCTCCCTGTCGCGGGTAGTTATTTTATTGGTCGTCCCTGCGTAACGGTTCTCGAAATTAATTCAGAGATGTTGCAACGTGCGCCAGTTAAAAATAGGTTCGATCGAGAAACTACTTTTGAATCACTGTCGCAGAGTCCGGTTACGTCGCGGTAAATGTCACCATTAATCCCGTAACCATAGGTTTCACCGGAGCAGGAAGAAGCCGAACAGTCGAGACGCACGATTTCCTGATCGCTTGACTGTGTATCATTATATCTTTATAGCTCGTAAAGATCTTCGAAAAAAGAATGGGAATCGAGGCCTTCATAAAAACTCATTCTCTCTTGTGTTATTTTTGGGATATGCAAATTGTGTTGATCGTCACGTGTGTCAATATTCGGGTGTTCTTCCTCAGATTAGTTAGATACCTTACTTTCCCTACTTCCGAACAATTATCTACTCTTGGAAAACTCACAAGACGAAATATCTGAGTAGAATACATATACAATAAAATTCTATTTTATCTCAGTTACATTGTTTATTTCCGAAGAGCTAACAAGTGTTAACTTTGCTAACTGACACAGTAAAGATCGTCCTCAAACCTAAGGAAACATTAACGAAGAGAAAATCTCAGCCTCGTGATACTTTTCACCCCTAATTAACGTGCGATTTTGCTCTTATATTCCTAAATCTACCGATCACTTTCATTTCAAAATTTACTCACTCTTCGCGGCCCACGGTTTCCCATCTCTAAGAGATTTCAAAAAGAATTCCAGATCCCTATGGCACTCGGGCTCGAGTTTCCCCGGCACTCTTGCCCACTTGAGTGGATCGTAGAGATCGGCCAGCCACTGGATACTGTTCGCCGTCCTCTCCAGCTTCTCCTTCATGAAATCAACGTCCAGATTCTCTTTAGCTATCGCCTCCTCCTTCTCGTCGCCAGGGCGATCAGCAGTTGCGTTCAATTTCTCTGACTGGTTCACGATCGGCGCCTCATCCTTCACCTTGCTGAGCTTCAGGATGTTAGACTCCGTCCCATTCACCACCACGTGTACTAGGCACCAGGAAACCACTAGCAGCAATCGAACAAAAACGACCGCCATGCTGAATGACCCAAAAAATCGATTCTAGGCGAGGCTCGTTGAGTGTTATCCTCGAATTCCTGCCGTGGGGCGCTTCATCCGGACGTCATGTCAGGGTTCCCAGGATCCTCTGGTCTCGTTTCGTCGGTTCCCGGTGATTTTCAGTTGGTCAGCAGCCTAATTCCTCCAGCATGCTTGAACGCGCTATTGGATTCGATCGTTGGCGCGAGCCAGCAACGGTACTACCGGCTGTTTACGACTCCGGAATGAGACTCACTTTCCTTTTTCACCGGCTGCCGATGGTATATCGCGAACGCTCGCCAATTCAGGCTGATTTATGCGTCGATTTCAACCGTGCCGAATGGATCACTGTTTTGCAACGATTTAGACTGTACGGCGGTGTTGCGATTCAAGTGAAAACGATTTGATACTTGGCCGAATGAGTTAGAGATTTTCCCGACGGTTCCGAAGAGATAATTCGACGTTGATCGTTGGGACAGTTACCCGCGACGCCGATCGATCGCAGAGGACAAAGGTGGACGCGCGCACACGAGGCTAAGGATCACGCACTGAATGAAGCGAATCGAGTTACCAGTCGTATTCACCCGTGGACACCGGTCCCCCTTTCTCCCGGCAGTACACTTCGACGCGGTAAATATATTTCCTTCTTCGGGGGCCCCCGAACCGACGCTCCATTGCGCCCCCCCTCGCCGTCCCCCGAAACCCTGCAGCGAATCCCCGGACGATCCGTTCGCCCCTGGATCCTCTCTCCTCATTTGTGAAATGGTCGTACCCACGTTTCACTCTCGACGCTCTTGAACGTTGGAACAGCTTGCTCGTCTGTTTCGGGAAATTAACTCGTTCGCTACCAGCGTCGCATATCCGCGACGATCAATGGTTCGTATTTTGTGCAAGGAAGAGTAAATTACCTTCAGGTGTATTCTCACCTAATATGGTATTGCACGGAAAAGCATCGTGAAGCTGAGATTCTTCTTTTGTTCATGTTTCCTTAGGTTTGAGGCTGATCTATATTAGGTCAGTTAGCAGAGATAGCACTTACAATACGAAGGAAGTCGTGGAGATTTTTTTCCTTTGTTATTATTTGTATTTTGTAAAGACGATATGTTTTATTTAATAATGTATTATCACTACGGAGACTGTTATTGAACAAAATTCTGGTAGCGAGTGGATTAAATTCGTAAACATGGCGGTACATATGCGCCTTGTGTTTAGCAATCCCTCGTGCAGGGGTGAAAGTTCTGAATTGAATATAATGGACACGGGTGTTTTTATCGGTGATCGGAAAAGACACAGGCGTTAGAAGGAATAGAAGAATTCTTATTCTTTTTGATGAATTATAGGTGATGGTGTAGCTTTGGAGATATACCGCTTGGAAAGAAATTGCAGAGGTAGAAGGGGGTGATATGTATAAGCTGTAGTTAACCATTAATTCCTCTGTGACGGCGAACAATTCACTACAACACATTTCACGCATCCACGGACACAAGTGAACGCGAGAAGTTTACGATCTAACGCTGAACGCATTGCAATCATCGATACGATTTTCTATTTTTCTTATTCGTAACACAAGTTTCGAGAAGACGCGATTGAATACATAGTCCCTCGAATAAGAAACACCGTCTGGCTCCATTAAATTCTATTGTCCCAGCGTTTTACCGCTCATGGAAATCCTTAACAAGCAATAAACTCGCGGATACGCGGCGGCCAGGTAATAAAGCAAACTGGCTCGCTCCTCCTTTCGATTTTGCCTCGGTTCAGGGATCGTAATTCGTTTCTCGCCGGAATTACCGTAATCCGAGAGCCAATCATTGGCCGTTCGGGCGGATTGTGCGTTCTGGTTCTTGCGAAAATCATCGGCGTTCCACGGCACGGTTGTTAAGCGAGGATGGCCTCGTAATACACGCGGTATGCCGTGGAACCTACCCGACGCGGCGGCCAACACCTAGATTCCTCGTTTCTGAATGCAAATGGTTTTTCCTTCGTTAACAATGTTTGCAGAAAGCCGACCGCGGCGTTAAACTGAATTATTGCTAGGGTTACGAGCCGCGTAGCCGGCGCTCGCCGTTACTACTTAATCGCGGCGCGCTGGCTCTTACGGCGTGGTTTCATTCCAATGAATAATACCCGCACGGTTCTCTCGCAAAGCGATTCGACAGCATGGCTAACGAATATTTGATTGTTCAAAGCACTTGCAATCGAAGGAAATGAAGTGAATAGCTAAACCGGCTAACTGAATTTTGAGCCTTCCATGTAATGCCTACTGTTTCATATCAGAGATTTACTTCTTGCCCTGGAATTTCATTTAAAGGTTTGGCGAAGTTTGGCGCGAAGAATTTTGTTTGTGAAAACAATCTAGTATGCCTGACGTAGCAAGATTATCGATGTGTAGGACGTCATTGACAATTCTGTTATTCATATTAGAGATAACTATTAATGGTTTGCTATCTGAGTTGACATTAACAATTTCTTATCATGTTTCATTCTTATTAAATCTCCATTTTAAATACAGTCTTCTTAGGATTGAGGCATTCGGTTCACCAATAAATCATCTCGATGCGCTGTCAGCAATTCCGGTTGCACAGAACAGACAGCCGATCTCATTCATCACGGAATAAACGATGAAATACTTTCAACCGGTGCCGCGTATCGACACATTTTCCAGAAATTGTCTGCCAGTGTCTCGAACGTCGGCGAAAATAAAATGATGGAGCTGAATAGAGGATCTCGTCGATACCTATCGAGAGACAGCGACATTACGGGTAACCGCGCTTCACTCTTCTTTCCTGTTTTATCCCGTCTTTCCCTAGTACAACGTTTCACCGGGTCGGATGTCACTCGAATTTCAATAGAATTCGCGCACCGATTCGAAGTAGCGCGACGAGAGATTAAGGGTCAAGGATTTTTCTTGGGAGAGCCGGATGAGACGGTGGTCAGCGTTTCGGAGCGAGCTAACAATTTTTCCGTGGCTCACGACTGATCTTCTACCCCTTTCTCCTCTTCCTTTTCCTGTCTGGCCCCTATAAAATGCACTGGGACGATTTCCAGCCCTCTTCTCACCGGGTATACGATGCGCTGCACTCTCGAGAACCATCGGCGAATCCGGGAAACAAAACTAACCCTTTGTGTTTGAAAGTTCTTTTAGGACTATTTACTACCAACTCAAACGTGCTTGTTCAGGAAATAGCGAGTAACAGTCCGTTTCGAGTAAGATATTAATAATATTGTTAATATTTTAATATAAATAACCTTGAAAATAATGATTTAAATGACACTTGCGATAATATTTGTTGCTCGTTATGGTGAACGAGTGTTTTACGTCCAGTTTTAATGGATTCACTTTCTTTGTGCCATAAGCTTTATTTTTCTTATTGTTTCTTTTCTGTCGAAGAGTTTCTATTATTACATTTATTACTATTAATATTCATATGGCGCTTCTTAAGATAGATAGATCAATGCAAGGAGCTAAAGTTGAATACGAGCAATTTTCCCGTTTGTTCGTATCTCAAACATTCCGTGAAATTAATTAATTAAGGCAAATGTCTAGGTATGTACTTCTTTCTCCTCGCGTTTCCACCGTGACTTTTCATCAGCGATCACTCGGATCTTCGAGGAAAAACGGTTAAACGAAGTGGACAAAGTAGTTGCTGAGACTGAACTCCTTTAACAGGAGCAACGTTATAACCACTTTTGATTTACTTCCGGAGTCTTCTCAAATATTTCTCTATGAACTGTACGTCGGCATATGCGTTCCGACGGGACGTGAAAGGATTCGAAACTTCTAGGTACAAACTTTCCAGGTGCAACCTCAGCATCGTAGCTGTGCTGTCGAAATCTCGTTTATGAGTGATTCAGGTAGCGGGAACTTTATTGATTGCAATTAGCTCGATTGAAATGCTGGGAGAAATAACTCTCAGATACACAGTTAATTTTTCTTATAATTCTATATGGAAGAGCTCTCATCTTGAAGGAATTGAGAGTTTTTCGATACCCTTGGTCACACAGTATCGAAGACACAATCCTTCATCTTCCATGAAATACTCAGAGAAACCTATGATATTCTCCTTTGAGTCTTTCGATTCCTTCAAATCCAAATCAAATATTATTTCCTTATTATCAATTATAGTGCATTGGAGTAAACATAAGCATAAAATGATCCTGAATCTTTCCCTCTTTGTAACGAATGATAATCATTGAAATAATTTTGTCAAATCCAGTTTTGGACAAATTATGGTGCAGGGGGTTAAAGTATCTAGCTCAATAAACTCTAGCTTCCAACAAATCGATAAATAAAGTAGAAATTTTCAAAGAACCATCACTGATCGGAACAAAACGATTACTTACCTACCTAATAAATTATCTAATAGTTCTTTTCCATCCTCCCAAAATAAAACATTGAGAAGAAATTAAAGACCTAATTAAAAAAACGACAAAAAATTAAAATAGTCGTCCATACTTCCGGTCACATGATCCCGAACCCCGTACATTGACTCAGGAAGGGATGAAGCACGCGCGGAGACCTTCGGCACCGCTCGCGAACGTCGTGTCGGATCGTCAGAATGCGTTTGCGCCGCATTTTCACTTTTATTCGTGGTTTGCGTAACCGGTGCTCGCGGCTGGCGTGCCACTCTCGGTTTCGCGCTCGGGAAGCTCGAAAGTTTCAACGAATTTCTCGACCAGCGCCCACCCATCTTCCGTCGGTGCTTCCCGAAGGCAGCGGAGAGCGCTCCGCGCCACGGAAACCGCTTCCCTTCGGGGAGATCCGGTTGTCTGTTACGCAACCGTGCTTTCTACGTGATCGGACGTGCATACACGCGCGAACAGCCACAACCGGTCTCTCCGCTCGCGAGTCCGGAGTGCCTGGACCTGCGAAGGTACTTTCGTTGACTTCGAAACGCCGAGAAACTGATTTACCCTTTACTCGAGCTGACACGTGGAATCCGAGAGCTGTTTCCCTCTTGACTTTCCGCTTGTCGATCATTTCGATTTTTCGATTGCGAAGA